CAACATTTTCAAGCCAGGTACAGCATGGTTAGATACAAAGTAGAGTTTACTCTAGAATATTACTCCTGCACCAGTGGGACATTTTATACCAGGGATGGGCCATTATTTTGGCTGGCGGACAATTTCACAAGTTTTGGTAAGCTTCATGGGCCGCACACTTAATATAGATGCAAGTGCTTAATAATAGCTCAAAATCAAGTCTTACACTTGTACATGCATAAAATAAAGTCTACATAATTGACATTCATTAACATTAGGTTAAATAAAAACAACTCATTGAGCAGACATTTATTCGATATTTATTCATTTATTCACATATTGATGAGAATGTGAGAAGCTCACTCAGTGGGAAGAATGAAAGCGCTGATGTACGTTAACAATTGATGTCAGGCATCGTCTTCGTTATTGCAATGTGGAGAACTGCTGCAAGGTGGTCATCAGTCATCACAGATCTATGTTTTGATTTATTGAATTTCATCACAGAAAATGTCTTCTCACATAGGTATGTTGATCCAAACAGCACAAGCATCAGCATCCTCTGGGCATGAACTTTTATTTTTTGAAAGGTATGTTCATTAAGAGAGGCGTAAAAACTGGGAAATGGCACTGATTTGAATTGCTCAGCAAACAATGGATCACATTGCAGGTCAATAAGCTCAAGTTGGAGGTCAAATGGGGTTTTATCAACATCAAATGAGAAAGGTGAAGAGCCCAAAGACAGGTCATTTTCGATCAAATTGAAATCCTGGAATCGGCGAGAAAATTCAGAATGTAAATTAAGTAGTGATGAAGTATACTTTTTAAGGCTTTGATTGCAAATAGTAATCTGCTGCAAAGTTGGAAAGTAGGCTAACAGCCTGTTTCTATCTGACGCGATAAAAGAAATAATTTCATCATAAATGACTTGACAATGGAATACAAATCATACACAAAGGCTCCCTTCCATTGCAGCTTTGAATTCACTTCATTCATGTGGCCCATGATATCAACGGCAAATGCGAAATCAGAGAGCCAATTCACATCTTTCAGCTGTGGGAAATCTGAATCTTTTTGTTTGATGCCCAAAAATAAATCAATCTCTGTTCTCAGTTCCCACACTCTTTTCAAGACCTTTCCGAAACTAAGCCATCTCACATTCGTGGGATACAGAACATCCATGTGTTCGGATTCCAATTCCTCAAGCAGAGTTACAAATTGCCTGTGGTTTAATCCTCTTGCTCAAATGTAGTTGACCATTTTCGTAACTGTGTCCACAACATTGCTTAGTTTAGCACACTCTTACAGAGGACCTCTTGGTGGATAATGCAGTGTAGAAAAACAATATTCTGTTCTGGATTTGTTTCTTTGACTTGATCTTGAATTCTTTTCAGTAACCCAACATTTTTGCCTGTCAGATTTGGCCCTCCATCGGTGGTCACATTCACCATTTTTCCTACTCCACTCCTAATTTTAAGATACACTTATTTACTGCCTCCAAAAAGTCTTCTCCAGTTGCCCTATCTTTAATTGACTGCATTGATGCTAATTCTTCTGTGAGCTCAAAATGTTTGGTGATACTGCAAATAAAAATTATCAACTGAGCTGTGTCTTTGACATCACAACTCTCATCGAGTGCCGGTGAAAAACATGCAAAGTTGCTTACTTTATTTTGTAGCTGCAGATACAGGTTCTCAGAGATATCCTCGACATGTCTCACAATAGTTTACCTTGACAAGCTAATGTTCTCGAACTGGTTTTTCTTGTCTGGGCATAAAATCGAGGTAGAGTCAACCATACATTCCTTTATAAATTCTCCTTCAGAGAATGGTTTGCTGTTCTTGGCGATTTTGTGTGCAATCACATAACTCACTCTTGTAATCTCATCTTGGGACGCAAATTGTTTTGTGAAAATGCTTTGCTCTTCTTGCATTCGAACAACCATCTCATCAGCTTTCTTTCCTTTTTCTTTGGCAGAAACGTTCTTATATTTCCAAGCGCGTTTGCTCCAAAACAGCGATTTAAGTTGCAGTCTTTGAGCACTGCCACACTTTCTTTGCAAATTAAGCACACAGCTTTTCCACCCACACTGGTGTAAAAATTATTTAGAAGTCCATTCTTTGTTGGATAATCGGCTTTCAGCGTCCACTTTCTGCTTCTTTGATACACTCATTTCGAATTAACGTCCTCTTCAGTGAAAAGTATTGCCGCGTTTGCCGCGTGCGCATGTTTGAAAATTTGCTGATCCGTACATTTCTGACGTCAGCCTGATTCAACACTTAAGGGATCGTGCGCACAACTAAGCCGTGTGATTGGCTGATGTTCCTGGTCAGATTCAAATTTGTGCAACTTTCTGGGACTGAACGCACTATAATTTTTTCTATTGTTAGAAACAATGACGGGCCAGATAGAATCATTTGGCTGGCCAGATATGGCCCGCGGGCCATATTTTGCACACCCCTGTTTTATATGCCCTGGCTGTTAGAATCGAGACCTATTTACTACTCTAATTTTTTTGAAGAGACAAATAAAGTACATTTTGACTCCGTTAGAGTGAGGTGTCATGGGATCCATAACTCCCATCAGGCAGGACTTAAAACCGTTTAAACCTCTCATCACAAGGAACTGAATCGTCAACAAAAAAAGCTCTACCCCAGTACTGCACTAGAGGGTCAGCTGGGAACGTGAGTTCAAAACCCAGCATAACGGGCTGTGGATTCAAGCCCCCTCATCAAGACTTTGGACCTATTCAAAAAGAAAAAATGTTTCTCACAGTGTCCTGGCAAAAAAATGGTCATTTACTTAATTGTATATGGGACTTTGCTATGTGCAAATTGACTGCCGAGTGTGCTGACAGATACAAAGTCACTGCATTTCACAGTAAAAATCCCGTGAAGGGCTTTGCGACATTTTGACGACGTAAAACGGTGTTTGGCTAATCTAACATTAACTATGTGAAACTCAAATTTGTCAGTATTCAGCCAGGATTGTATCTGTTATCCAATGTAATTATCAAGTTTTGAATTAATAGTCAGTGAGCTCTTTAACGCGAGTGAACATTTGTTCTGCAATTGTGATGGAAAATCCTATTATATGCATGGAATAAAAACTTTGTTATTGGTGCTGAACAACAACAACAACAAGATTCCATTTATAGAGCGCCTTTCACGTCGGGAGGACGTCCCAAAGCGCTGTACAGTTGGGTCAGGACCCGAGCAGGGGGGAAATGGTGAGGGTAGGGAGGGAGCGAGGAGGGGGTAGAGAGTTGAGAGGGGAGCTGAAGGCACGGTCAAAGAGAAAGGTCTTGAGACCGGCCTTGAAGGAGAAGTCTAACAGTTAAGCCCCAAAATACAGTTTAAAAAGGCCCGTGAACTGTTTATACCTTTAAGCATGGGAAATGACACACTGTCACGCACTCTACAACGGACAGATATCTGTCTTATTCCAGTCGGACTTTAGTACCATTCTCTCAGGTGCTAGTTCCTCACCCTTGGATGCCAGTCGGACATGTGCAGATTAAACCCTTGATAGGTGTGGATAAGGAGGAGTGCCTGATATCTGCTATCCACTTCGCAAAGGCTCCAAGTTGCACTTTTCAACATCATCTGAGCCAAGCAAGTCTGCGGTATCACCGAGGCACAGTATACTGCAGTCCGACTAAAGAGCAAGAGGCTGGCTGGTCTGTTGATACCTGATGGCTTTACAGGGGGTAATAACCGCTCTCTCAGTCACTCAATCCACCGCTGTTTGTGGGGGTCTCGGCTGTGCACAACGGCTGCTGTGTTTGGCCCACAAAATATAAAGTCAATCCATTCTGTGAAACTCTTCCACCTGATGAGGTGCTACATCAAATGCAAGGATTATTATTATTATTATTAATATATCCTATCTCCGGAATCGGCAGGCGTGGGTGGGATGCGTGGAATTCTCGGTCGGGGTTTGGATGCTATTAAAGCCTGATGAGAGGGTCAATCAGTCCCGCTCAGGCGATCGGTTCCCACCCCCCACCACCATCACCCACTCACCATCACCCCGCCCACCCCACCCCTCACCATCACCCCCCCCCCACCCTTTCACCATCACCCCCCACCATCACCCCCCCACCCCACACCATCACCCCCCACCCCTCACCATCACCCCCCCTACCCCACACCCCTTCACCTCCCCCCACCCACCCCTCACCATCACCCACCCCCACCCCTTCACCTTCACCCCCCACCCCTCACCCACCTCCCACCCCTACCATCACCCCCCCACCCCAACCCCTCACCATCACCCCCCCCCACCCCAACCCCTCACCATCACACCCCCCACCCCACACCCCTTCACCACTCCACACCCACCCCTCACCATCACCCCCCGCCCCCCCCCCCCCGCCCTTCCTCTATCATCCAGTGCCAGCGCCGTGAGCAATTGGCTGCCAAGTTTCAACCCACAAAATACAACAGTCCAAGTCGAGTCACTTTGCCGGTGAGTGTGAGCCCTGCAGGTGCCGCTGTCGCTCTTGCCTGGGCTGCCCGGGCTGGGCTGGGCTGGGCTGCCTGGCCAGCGCTGCTGGTGCTGTGCGAGCCGGGCAGAGGCAGAGAGGAGCCGGGGGTGTTGGGAGGGGAGAGGAGGGCAGAGAGGAGGGAGCCGGGGTGTGGGGTGTGGGGAGGGGAGGGCAGGGAGGAGGGAGCCGGGGGTGTTGGTGTTGGGAGGGGAGGGCAGGGAGGAGGGAGCCGGGGGTGTTGGGGGGGGTGTTGGGAGGGGAGGGGGGAGGAGGGAGCCGGGGGTGTTGGGAGTGTGGGGAGGGGAGGGCAGGGAGGAGGGAGCCGGGGGTGTTGGGGGGGGTGTGTTGGGAGGGGAGGGAGCCGGGGGTGTTGGGGGGGGGGGTGTGTGTGTTGGGGGGGGGGTGTGTGTGTTGGGGGGGGGGGTGTGTGTTGGGAGGGGGGGTGTGTGTTGGGAGGGGGGGGTGTGTTGGGAGGGGGGGGGGGTGTGTTGGGAGGGGGAGGGAGCCGGGGGTGTTGGGGGGTGTGTGTTGGGGGAGGGGGGTGTTGGGAGGGGGGGGAGGGCAGAGCGATGCGGCGGCAGCATGGCCCGATGGTTCAAGGAACACCTGGGGTTCAGGAGCGCTCGCAGTCCGCCGCAGCCGCCCAAACCCGACTACCGGCAGCAGCGCCCGGGGGGCGGAGAGCCCGACATCCTCACCGCCTACAAACTGCAGAAGGAGCGGGACTTCGAGGACCCGTACACCGGCGGCGCCCGGTGTCTGCAGCGGCTGCGAGCCGCCTGCGAGGAGGCGGAGGTCGGCGGGTCGCAGCCCGCGCCCACCGCCGGCTCCGGCTGTAGCCCTCACCCCAACCCGACAGCTCCCGCCCCCGACATCAAGTACATCTCTCCCAAACACAGGCTCATCAAAGTGGAGAAGCCCGAGAAGAGCAGCGGCAAGTCCCCAACTACCCCCGAGGAGAGCAAACAGGACAAGGTAGTGCGTGTGGGGGGGTCGTGTTGGGCACAGTGTGTGGGGGGGTGGGGGGGTGGGGGGGTCGTGTTGGGCACAGTGTGTGGGGGGGGGTGTCGTGTTGGGCACAGTGTGTGTGGGGGGGGTGTCGTGTTGGGCACAGTGTGTGTGGGGGGGGTGTCGTGTTGGGCACAGTGTGTGTGGGGGGGGTGTCGTGTTGGGCACAGTGTGTGTGGGGGGGTGTCGTGTTGGGCACAGTGTGTGTGGGGGGGTGTCGTGTTGGGCACAGTGTGTGTGGGGGGGGTGTCGTGTTGGGCACAGTGTGTGTGGGGGGGGTGTCGTGTTGGGCACAGTGTGTGTGGGGGGGTGTCGTGTTGGGCACAGTGTGTGTGGGGGGGTGTCGTGTTGGGCACAGTGTGTGGGGGGGTAGTGTTGGGCACAGTGTGTGGGGGGGTCGTGTTGGGCACAGTGTGTGGGGGGGGTGTCGTGTTGGGCACAGTGTGTGTGGGGGGGTGTCGTGTTGGGCACAGTGTGTGTGGGGGGGTGTCGTGTTGGGCACAGTGTGTGTGGGGGGGTGTCGTGTTGGGCACAGTGTGTGGGGAGGGTGTCGTGTTGGGCACAGTGTGTGGGGGGGTGTCGTGTGTGCAGTGTAGTGTGTGGGGGGGTGTTGTGTGGTGTAGTGTCTGTGTGGGGGTAATGTTTGTGTGTGTGTGTGGTGTAGTGTCTGTTGGGTGTGTGGTGTAGTGTGTGGTGGGGGTGTAATGTCTGTGGTGTGTGTGTAGTGTGTGTGGGGTATAGTGTCTGTGGTGTGTGTGTAGTGTGTGTGGGGTATAGTGTCTGTGGTGTGTGTGTAGTGTGTGTGGGGTATAGTGTCTGTGGTGTGTGTGTAGTGTGTGTGGGGTATAGTGTCTGTGGTGGGTGTGTGGTGTGTGTAGTGTTGTGTCTGCGGTGTTGTGTGTAACGCGCTACTTTGTACCCAGTTTGGCTACTTCTCCGCTACTTTGTGTCTTGTTTCGTTCCCGTCTTTAAACGCTGTCACTTTCTCAGCCTTAAAACAAACCCCTCAAGTTTCACATCATCTTTTACTGTTATCTTCTTCTTTTTCTTCTCGTACTTTTCAACACTGCAACTTCTCTCTCTCTCTCTCTCTCTCTCTCCTTCTTCTTCCCCTCCACACCCACTCACCTTCTCCATCTCCATCTCCTTTCCCCTCTAAACCTCTCTCAAAATGGAAATCAGATCAGCTCCAAAGGGATATTTGCACCCATAAAGTTTAATGGGGGTGGATGTGGGGGGGTTGCGGAGGGGGGGGGGGGGGGGGGGTAGAGAAAAAAAAACCTCTAAACTTACTTTAAGGATTCTTGTCATTTATTCTTTGGCTTTTTGTTAAGCTTAAAAAAAAATCAGCTGAAATCAAATGTTTTGCTTTCCAGCTTTCTGCAATTTTTTTTCTCTCTTTCCCTCTCTCTCTCTCTCTCTCTCTCGCTCTCGCTCTCTCTCTCGGTTTCCTTTGCAAAGAAAGCCGGATCAGCTTCATGTGAAATTGCCACCAAAACCCGATGGTTGTCCCGCGAAAATATTGTTTTGTTATTTCCAATGACCCCGTTACTTGTTTGCTTAGAAGATCGGCGGAAGTAAAATGCTCCGAGTGAGATAAGTGGTGCAGTAGTCTGCACGATATTTTCTTTCACCATCTCTAAAGGATTCCAGTCTCACCGGGAACCAAACCTTAAGTGTAAAATGCACCTTGATTTTTAATGGTTGTGTGTTTTTTTGGGACCGGTACAAGAACGTGTTAATTTGTGATCAGTGTTTGTTATTTAAACCTCAGCATTTATCTGTGTCTTCTCACACACACTCCCTGACTGGCGGAACCTAACAGAGATGACATTATTTGTGTTTAACCTGTTAATGTGTATTTAGAAAATCCGAATGTTTTATATCTAATCGTTTCATTGGAGAGACGTTAACGTTTTGAGAGAATTGGAGGGCAGGGTGGATTCCTGTGTGAACAGGGCACTTGTATCGAACAGGGAGATATTTTTAATTAACAGCTTGTAGATTATGTTATTTCCACATAATCAGCCAAGGATTAATGTTGAATCACTGCACTAGAGTGGAGATCGACAATGCAGCAGTATTTCATCCAGATGTAGAGAAAGCTGCATTAGCTGCTGGCAAATACAATTGGCCCAGGATGTCCACTGTATATTATTATATATGTCAAAATACAAGGAGCAACTGCAAGGTTATAATCGTAATGTGGGGTTATCTACCAGTTGTGAACAGCCTGCGTTTTGTTCTGGTTTATCTCGTCATCTGACTGTTCTTTCTCCTTTATTTTTTTTCTGAAGACAGCCATGCAGCTTAAACAGAAAGACAAAGTTAGGTGAAAACCCTTAGACACAGACAGACCCAAGGAATTTCAGGCTCTCTGGTCTGTTTCTTTTACAAAACCTTCCAGCTCACACGTTGACTCTGAAACAAAAGCTGATATTACAGCAGTAATGTGTCTGGTACTGTTTGCTTGATGCAATAGCTTATCTATGAAGCCATATATTTTTTAAAAAAGCTTCATGACATTTTCTTTCACTGCAAGTCTCTTGATGTTATCACGTTCTATGGCACTTGAAACACGTTTCCAATTATACAGCTACACAAATCAGATGTCACTTTTTTGCTCCTTATCGGAGCAGAATGTTGTTTTGATGTGGAAGCTTGTGTTGAAAGGATTACTGATGGGGAAGTGAGAGAACTCTGTATTGCAAAGCAAAGAGCAGTTTCTCTGAAGAAGGTTAGCTTTCTTCATCGGAAGGGGAGGAGGTATATTTACTAACCTAATACAGATACCAATTCCTGTCACTTTTTGGGAATGGTATTCTAGTTTGTAAAATATGTAATAATAATCCTTGCATTTGATAGTGCCTTAGCACATTGTTGAATCATCTGAAAGCACTTCACAGAATATATTGTAAAATGAAATGACTGTGTATTTTGTGGAAGAAGGAATGTAAGAAAGAACTTGCATTTTTCATTTGAATGCCTCAAAGTATTTTATACTGATTATTATCTAACAGAGTGACTGTTCTGAAGAACAATCATGGCAGTCTTTATGCGCCAGCAAAGTTTCCAATTCCCCACCCGCCTTTCTCTCTTGAGCGCAAAATCGCAATGTAAACTTTCTCTGCTCGATATTGTATAATTTAAAATGGGACGTCCTCCTGACGTGAAAGGCGCTCTATAAATGGAATCTTGTTGTTGTTGTTGTATTATGTTCTGCAAGTCTTTAACTGCGAGGCAGAACAACTTGCCCTGCAATGTTGAATGTATGGATTGTGTCATTGAGATCTCTGCACTGAATCACACCAGGAACACTCACTGGACTGATACATTACCAACTGTCGGCTTGGCCTGGTTAGAGGTCCTCTCACCTCTGGACTAGAAGATTCTAGCTTCCAATCCCACTTCAGGACTTGAGCTCATAGTCTAGGACTGTGGACACTGCGGTGCTGCAAGAGTGCTGCATTATTGGTGGTACTATCGTTAAACTGAGACCCTTTTTTGTGTGGGAGAGAGTCACACTTAAATGCATTTGTTGTTGATCTTGTGACACTAGTCAATATTCAAAAAGAGAAGTGAATTTCTCTCGGTGTCCTGATCAATAATCCTCCAGGTAAATTAGTCATTCACCTTTTGTCATGTCTTGCTGTGCATAAATGGGCCTGAAGAAACAGTCACTACTCTTGACAATTTAGTGTTAAAGGCACTATATCAAGGCAAGGATTACTTTATATGGAAAGCATGGTCTTGAATTCCTTGCTCCTTTATTTGCTTCATGATTTTATAGCTTTAAATCAAAAGATTTGCTCCAAAAATAAAATGGATTATGAAGAGTTAATATTAACATAATTTCCTTTTGCCTCCTGATCCTTAAGGCTGATATCTGGTTTTGATATTTGTTTTGAATTTCAGACGTTCCCCAGTCAGTACTCACTGGAGTATTGGTTCTGTTCAGTAACTGCTCCTAACTGTGCGAGGGAGCTGGACTCACATTGAAATGGCACGATTGCCAAAGCCCCCTGGGTTCATGATTTGTGTCTCCACTGATGTTAATTCAGTTCCCTTGTACTCTGGAAGTGAGTAATCCTCTGAGATGCCTTCCCAATGGCAACATATATCCTTGTTTATTTTTCTTTAAAACATCACAGAAACCCCCACCAGGATGTTGAGGTTAATAACTCTTTAGTGTGTGTGCTTTTGTTTGTGTGTGTGTGTGTCTCTGCTCCATGTGTGCGTGCATGCGCAAATGCGCCTGTGTGTGTGATGTGAATGCATGGGTGTTGACAGGATTGGGTGCGGCTGTGATTACCCCTCTACATGTCCCTCCCTGGTTGAATAGACTGCCGACACTCCCTGTCTGGGCTCACCCAGGAAGAATGGTGACTTTGGGCGAGGTACCACAAGACGACTGGTGTGGTGGAGCCATAACCCATAAGAGTTGACACTTTGAGGAGAGCAACAAACAGTTGTGCTGGTTTCAAGCTGTCTCTTTACAGCTCTTTTAGTGACAATCTGACGACAGCAACAACAACAAGATTGCATTTATAGAGCGCCTTTCACGTCGGGAGGACGTCCCAAGGCGCTGGACGGTTGGGTCGCGACTTGAGCAGGGGGGAAATGGTCAGGGTGAGGGCAGGGAAGGGAGGGAGCGAGGAGGGGGTAGAGAGTCGAGAGGGGAGCTGAAGGCACGGCTGAAGAGAAAGTTCTTGAGACCGGCTTTGAAGGAGGAAAGGGAGGAGGCGGCGAAGGCACTGGGGGATGGAGTTCCAGAGCCTCGGGGCTGAGAGGCTGAAAGCCCGGCCACCGATGGTAGGGAGGGGGATTTGGAGCAGACCGGAGCCAGAGGAATGAAGGGTACAGGCAGGTACGTGGGGGGATAGTAGATCGGAGAGGTAGGAGGGAGCGAGGCTGTGAATGGCCTTGTAGGTGAGGATGAGGATCTTGAATTCGATCCTCTGGGGGAT